TTGTCGTGGGGCTTATATAAGAACCGGCCTGTAAACCTTACTCGGGGCTGGGGTTGTGCATGATTCCAGTTGACGGGATTATTAGTCTTGCCTTTCTTTTATCTTTGCATTTTTTTTGTCATATTCAATTCAGATGCTTTCCTTTCCCATCTCCAAGATGGTGCGTAACTGTGCTGTGCCCATCTGTCTGCCCGGCCCCCTGCTTTGCTCTTTTAGTTCCTCACACCTACTCAAGTCTGTGTCATCTTTCTTTCTTACCCCCTGTAACTGGAACAGTCCCCGGGTGCTTAAAATCACTTTCTTCCTTAAAGGCTTGCTTCTGTGAAATTTTCCCGACTTAAAGATACTGTTTCTTGTGACTTAGTATCTATTTATATGCCTGTGCGTCCTTGTAAGACCTTAGCAGTATTTTTTTTTCAATTTTAGTATCAGATAGTGAATGATTCCAAATATATTCCAAAAGTTCTAATTTGCCGTTTGCCGTAATGTTTGCCTTTCTGATGTCGCGAGCAAATGATGAGATTTTAATAGGAAAGTTAACTCATTGGTTTCCAGGGGCATCCGTCTGTCCCGCTTGTCTGTTCTCTGGCTTCTCTCTTTCTCCGAACGCATTGCCCTCCCGTCAGTAATTACAGTGACTGTGACGGCGATGCAACGACAGCCCCGTAATTAGTGAGCACTTACTGCGCTCACACTGTGTGCCAGCCACTGCGCCGGGCACGTTCGATGCTTGTTTAATGCTCACAACTAAACTTGTCAGGTTTATGAGCTACTATTACATTATTATAGATGCAGAAACCAGGACTTAAAAGATAATGCCGATTGTTCTCCACTTTGTAAGGTCAGAAAATTATGTGTATGGGGCTTCCCGGTGTTGAGGACTGGCTTTCATAATGTGGGAATTTTGGATCTTTGTAGGTTCTCTGGTGGGGGCTCAAGAATTTGCAAATTTATTCCCAAGTGGAAGCATACAGGGTGCACTCACTAGTGTTTTGCATTTTGCTCTCGCCAACATGTTTTTGCGATTCATTCATGTTTGTGTCTATCCGTTTTTTGTTCCATTTTTCTGTTGCCTAGTATTTCATTGTATGTTAATACCACACCTCCTCCATTCACCTCTTGTGGACACCTTGGTTGTTTCTAGTTGAAGCTATTAAGAATAAAGCTTGCCCTGGCTGGTTTGGCTCACTGGACAGAGCGTCAGCCTGCGGACTGAAGGGTCCCAGGTTCGATTCCGGTCAAGGGCATGTACCTGGGTTGCAGGCACATCCCCAGTAGGGGGTGTGCAGGAGGCAGCTGATCGATGCTTCTCTCTCATCGATGTTTCTCACTATCTCTCTCCCTTTCTCTCTGAAAAAAATCAATAAAATATATTTTTAAAAGAATAAAGCTCCTTTGTACGTTTGAGTACAAGCCTTTGTGTGGACGTATGCTCTCGTTATTCTTGGCAAAAACCAAGGAGTGGGAGTTCTGGAACACATGTTAAGGGTATGAATTACCATACATGCTAAGTGTATGTTAAGTGGGTAAGAAGCTGTGAAACTGGTTTCCAAAGTAGTTGTATGGTTTCACAGTCTCACCAGCAATAAGAGTTGTCATTTCTCCATATCTTCATCAGCACTGGGTGCTGTCAGTCTCCTTAAGGTTGGCTATTTTAGTGACCAGGCAGCAGTCCCCTCCTTGTCCATGGTGTGCGTGGGGCAAGGGGATACATCCTGAGACCCCCAGTGGATGCCTGAAGCCACGGGTAGTATCAAACCCTATCCATGCTATGTTTTTTTTCTATGTAGACATTCCGATGGTAAAGTTAATTTAGGTACAGCAAGAGATTAACAATAACTAGTAAAATAGAACCATTATAACAATATACTTTAATAAAAGTTACATAATGAGGTCTCTCTCTCCTATTGCACTACGCTCACCGGTTCACTAAAGGAAGCACTTTCGGCTTCCCTCTGGCAGGACCGAATGGCCAGCATCACTCCTCTTGTGCTTGGGGCCATTGCTAAGTAAAATAAGGGTCACTGGGACACAGGCACTGTGATACCAGGACGATGGACCTGAAGGCCTAGCAGGCTACTAAGAGGCTAATGGGCGGGGAGCATGTGCAGCATGGATGTGCTGGACAGAGGGGTGAGTCACATCTCAGGCGGACAGAGCTGGACAGCACGAGATTCACGTGAGTCAGAATAGCATGTAATTTAAAACGTATGGATTGTTTATTTTTGGAATTTCCCATTTGACATTTTTGAGACCATGACTGAAAGCCCAGAGAGTGAAACCGCAGATAAGGGGGGACTACTGGCTACTGGCATCTCATTGTGGTTTTAAGTTGCATTTCTTTGAGTAATGATACTAGGCAGTTTTTACTTACTAGAGGCCTGGTGCACGAAATCTGTGCACTGGGGCGGGGAGGGTCCCTTAGCCTGGCCTGCACTCTCTCCCAGTCCGGGAACCCTCGGGGGATGTCCAACTGATGGCTTAGGCATGGCAGTCGGACATCCTTTGCGTAGTTGGGGCTGGAGAGGGACACGGGAGGTTGGCCAGCTGGGGAGGGATCGTGGGAGGGGTCCAGGGCGTGTCCGGCCCATCTTGCTCAGTCCCGATCGGTCGGACCCCAGCAGCAAGCTAACCTACCAGTCGGAGCGTCTGCCTTCTGGTGGTCACTGCATGTCATAGTAAGTGGTTGAGTGGCCTGAGCATATCATTAGCATATTACGCTTTGATTGGTTGAACGGGTGACTGGACACTTAGCATATTAGGCTTTTATTATATAGGATTGGTGTTTCATGTCTCTTCAATTGTGAAATGTCTGTTCATCATCTAGATAGAAGCCTTTTTATTCTCACCATCGTAGAATACTTTCTTGCCTATCATGTCAGCAGTACTTTGATTTCACTTTGCTTTCTCGCTTATTGGCATTCACTGATTAGGCATCAATAACGAGGGAGGAGTTAGTGAGCAAGGGATTTATTTTGGGTCACTCAGGATTTCAGTTATCAACAATTGTAACAGGTTGTCTGTTTGCTTGGTCAAGTGTAGTTGAGACATTTGAAGAGAGGAATTTGGACCTTGGTCATTTAACCTTTCTTGTTAATCTGAAAAATTGGAAATTGACAGTAACTTGTGCCACAGTATAAAATATGATAGTCCGCATTTACTCATCATTGAAATGATGCCTTCAAAGGTCTCGTTTGTTTCAGAGTGCCTTCTTCATTAAAAAATACTTTTTACCATGTGATTTCTGTGATATTATCTTGTGTAATTTTTATTTGTGATAACTGTCCTGTAGAAATTTAAAGTATACCTTACAAGGTATTGAGAAGGTATCCGTTTGTCATTTTTATTCACAGCAGGCACCCACCTGCCCTTTGTCAGGGCATCTGTCACCTATAGGTGTGGATGGGCAGCGCCTATCAGTGTGTATCAGCAGCTGCTCGATGTACCGGCCTCTGAGACGGAGGTTTGCTCTGCGGTCTGTTGAGCCTGTTGCCACAGCATGCATTGGTTTTGTCACTTACTTAGCTCACTCATGGGAGCATGACTTGGGCTGTGGTTGGTGAGGCAGAGCTGTTAGAGCATGCCTGGATCCTCACCGCTCTACCGGCTGAGCTGCGTCACGCTTGGCAAGTTGCTTCTTAGTATTTCAGTTTCCTCTCGGGGACAATAATGAGGTTATTGTTGGCTTTACATCAGTTAACACGTGTAAAGCAATTAGGATACCGATTAGCAGATGACAAAGACTCAGATGTTCCCGCTGCTGTTGCCATTGTTCTTGTTACTATTATTACCCTGGGTCTTCCCTGGATACCTTCCCTCACGGTTTAGTCCCCTTCCTGCCGCAGTCCTTTCTCTCTCGCTTGGTTTTTTCTCACGAAGGACTTCTTACTAACCTGCCATATATATTGGGTATTCTTCGGTCGCTTGAGTAAAAAGCTGAAGAAAGTTGTAGACATTGATTTGATAGTTTGGGCAATGGCTTGTAGTCCATGCAGATTAGTTAGAAGTAGAGGGAACTAGGTGGTTGGCTGGGACCAGGTTTGGGCGGGGCAGCCGTTAAAGGTACAGGAGTCTAGCCCTTGCCTGGACAAGCAGTGGAATTTAGAGGTTCAGTATATGAAATTTATTTACAACTGGCTAAAGCATTAACATTTTAGTTTTGGTTTTATTTTCTGAAGATAAGAGTGTGTTTCATGGTAGATGATTATTCAAGCACTACAGTCATGCAAGTCACCCAGTCATGCAAGTCTACATTATTGGATTAGCATCATAATTTAGCCTGGCATTTGGGGTACAGAGAGGCATAGGTTTTAACCATCTTTTCCTTTTCTGCCTAAATGTCTTGCTACTATTTCCAAGCAGAAATGTAGCAGGACTGGATTATTTTTTATGCACTAATTCATTGGTTAGTATTCCCAGTGTTCCTTTGTTAATGTGAATTATTGACATTGATCAGTTTTATATTCATTTTTGGCATTTCATGGTCATTTTCATTTTATGTTCCCTTAAAAGACAGTGAAAGCTACAAGGATATATATTGTATACGAATACAAACATGTATTCTGGCAATAGAAATCAACCATGGACAGTTTTCTTTCTAAATGGAAATGTTCACTGTACTGCATTCTCAACTATTTTATCCAAACATAAATTCAGTAAGCTGTGTGTATCAGGTGAATAGAAAGCATTATCATGTGATATACTTAGCGGATGGGGAAATGGAACGCAGGGAGCCAGTTGGTGAATCTTGGAGTGCATACAATGTTACTGAACATTTCAGTCACACTCCCTAAAAAAATGGATTAGTGACATTAGACATGCTCAGTGGCCTAACATTATATTTCTTATCCAAATAAAACAATTGACTTTTAAACATTTATTTTTCTATTATTCAGCAAGTATTTGTGGAGCTATCTGCCAGGCATAATGTTGTTAGAATTTGTAATAATGAAATATATTTAATTCTGTGTCCGAGTTAAGAGCAATTACTAACCCATCTCATATTTTTTTTCTTTATTAAGGAGTCGCATTTTGTGAAAAAGTCACAAAGAAGAACTTTCTTCAAGGATCCTATCTAAGTGCACTTTTTATTGATACGTCATTTCTAGTAAGACACTTTTCATTTTTCTCTGATATGAAGTAAATAAGTACCATGGAAATGCTTTGTTTAAACACCTAACTTTGGGAGTTAACTATAACCCATTCAGACTGTCTGTGAGTTTGAATTGCAGTCATTTTGGAGTTTATCTTGGGGATTCGTATAGATGAATTAAGGATTTATAGAGTCCAATTAAAGTGCATAAGAGTATATAGTGATAGTTTACCTGACACTGGTCAGATAACATGGATCTTTTCATTGTTGCCACCTCCATATCAATTACCTTGTTTGTTGGTTTTTTTGAAGAAAAATATCTACAGTAGGCAGTCTGTGTTTATTGTGGCCAGAATGAGGAGGATGGGAGGGTGTGAGGAGAATTGCATAAAGCGAGGGGGCAGTTTTCAAATAACAGATGAAGAGGACAAATCTAGCCCTGTTTCTTAAAAGGTGCGAAGGGTCAATGAAAAAGATTAAGCTAATTTAGGAGATACTTGAAAATGTGGGCTTTTTGTGTGTGTGTGTGAGACTTTGAATTTATTGCCTTAAATCATAGGCCCATAATTGCAAGGCCCTGGAGTGTCTCTATTTCGATTTTAGACGTTATTGGTCCAGGTTAATGGTTCCAATACGTCAGTAAGATGTGTAGTCCTACTCAGAAGTTTTCATGAGTGACCCCTCATCTGAAGTCTACCTTTTTGTTTTAAATAGGGGAAAAACTACATCGATATTAGACTATTTTAAAAGAGTGGAATTTTGGAAAATGTTAGCAGGGGGTGTTTCTGGAATGTTATAATAAGTTAGCATTAACATTTCAAATATTAGATCTCGTTGATTAAGCCTGGTTATTTCAGTAAAAACCTTGGGAAAGGTACTTAAGACTTTTTGTTGTTGTTCTTGTCATTGTAAGAATAGTTTTGCTATTTAACATAAGGTCTAATTTTTTCCTTGAATAATTATATATTAGAAAGTACTTTTATAAATTTAGAAAATGAGTTCCTTGTTAGGATACTTTATTCTGATATCAGTTTCTTGTAGCTTTATATTTTTATTGTTAAACTTGGAAGAACAGTGTATTCTTACATCTTTCAGTTTAGGAGAACATGGAGAACAGGCATTGTTTTTCAGTCGAAGCAAAGTATCCTTCAGACCAAAACTTATATATGTCCAGGCAGGATGGGACTTAGGACGTCTCATTCACACTTTAAAATAGAATCCTTGGTTGGTCTTGTGTAATATCTCTGAATGTTCGTTTTCTTTCTTTTTCATCTTATTGACATTTCCCCTAAGCTCCTTTTGTCCACTAACTGCTCAAAACGGAATGATGGGAGGCGGAGCACTGGAGGGAGCACTTGGCCTCAGAACTCCCATGCCCGTGGCTCAGAACTCTGGCGCTCTCTGAGCCTTGCTGATGGCTCTGTGCGTAACTGCAGCTGCTGTGTTCTGGGTCACACGTAAGTGTTAGGAAGCTACGAGGCTTCCTTCCCTAACTAAGCTCCAGGATGTCGCCAGTGTCTTATTCTTCATGGCAGGCTTTCCATGGCTCTGAGGGTGACGTGTGAGTTCATAACTACTTGCTTAGGAGTTACTCTGAGAACTTAGATGGGAAGTGCTCTTTCCTTTTGAATAGATTCATATGTTGACTCAACAGCTTCCGATTAGGGATTTCCCCCTATACTTCTGCCCTAATTTGGAGTAGAAATTGGAGGAGTTGGCACAGAGATTGGGCAAAAATTTTTCTAACCTTTTTTCTTTCATGTCTTGGAACTGTTTTGGGCTTCTGTTTTAGGTCTGTGATCCATTTTGAGTTAATTTTTTAATATGGTGTGAGGTAAGGGATGCGATTTATTTCTTTGCAAATGTAACACTTTTGAGAAGCTAATATAGTCCCCTGTTGAATTACTTCGGCATCTTTGTTGAAAATCAGTTGACCATTATATGTGGGTGTATTTCAGGACTCTATTCTGTTCTTTAATGACAACACTGTATTGTCTTGATTATACTGTAGCTTTATGGTGAGCCTTAAAAGCAGATGGTATAACTCCTCCAATTTTGTTCTTCTATTTCTAAGTTGTTCTATTCTAGGTTCTTTCCATTTCTTTTCGTGTATTTTAGAATCAGCTGGTCATTCTCCACAAAAATGCCTGATGGCATTTTGATTATGAATGCTTTTATCTGCAGGCCAGTTTGGGGAGAGTTGACCTCTTATGGGTATTTTTCTCTGTAGGCTTCTAACTTAAGTCTGTTGTAGTCCAAGAACATACATTGTGTATTTGTTGTAAGTGCAGGATGTTGTCTGTGTTAGTGACTGTTTGGTGTGCACTAACCATTCTGCAATTGTTGAGTGGAGCTTTCTAGAAATGTTATCTTGGTCACATTGGTTGATAGTGTGCTTCAAGACTTATCCCTTCTGATTTCCAATTATTCCAGTAAGTGCTGAGTGAGCAGTGTGGGACTCTTCAGCATTGATTATGGGCTGGTCTGTTTCTCCTTTTATTTCTTGGCTCATGGAATTTGAAACTCTATAATTAGGTGCATGCATATTTAGTGGATTTTTTTTTTAATGTCTTCTTGATGAATTGGATCCACTGTCTTGAAATGTCCCTCTTTATTTCTGGTAATACATTGTGAAATAGTTTCTGAAATAGCTCACCTAGTTTTGTTTGTTTGCTTTATTGCCTTCTCTGTGTGTCTGTCTCTCTTATGTCCGCTTGCATAGTTATTGACAGAAAGTCTGCTGTTATTCTGTACTCCCTTATGTAAATTTTCTCTTCATTTGGACTGCTCGAAAGACTTTTTCAAATGATTGCTTTAGTCATTTGGTTAGGATATGCCATAGTATGGTTTCCTTTGAGAAAATCCTTAACTTTTTGTTTTGTTTAGATTCTTTACATTACAACCAAATCTGGAAACACTGTCTGCCATATTTTATGACATAGACAGGTTATCCCTGTGTACTTTTATGCTATTTGCCCTTATGGTTCCTGTGTTGATTGCACTGGATGAACATCCAGCTACATATATTTTGTCATTGTCTTATTTCCTTAGAATTTTTGAAAGTGGAGTATTTTTCAAGGGAAGCTGAAATTTAGGTTTCTTTTTGAAAAAATATTTTAAATGTGGGTCAGATCATTTAAGAACCTTCTAGAGGATAGTTTTGAGTGACTGATTTTCAAAGACAATAATAAATATTTTGTTCCCTGGTGCTAACTTCCTTTTCATTTTACATTTTACCCAGAGGTGGGCACATTTTCCCTACGATATTAATGTCATCAAGATGCCCAAGATTCCCCAAAGTGTATCTTTAGCGCTGATGTTTGAGCCTTAGGTCCAGCTTCCTACTTGACATTTCCAGTTGCCTGATCCATGACCACCTCAAGTTTAATGTGACCAAAATTGAATTCTTTACACATTACAGACCAGTAGTTTCATCGCTAGCTTTACCCAGTAGCAGATGAGTTTCTATTGAACGAGAACAGAAAAACGTTTTATATAAATGTTAAAGGCACGCTTTAAAATTAAATACCCATTGCATTTTGAAGTTATTTATTACATGTTCTTACAGGCTAATATCTTTTGAAAGTAGGATACTTTGTAAAACACTGGGTACTAGGAAGCGAGAATTCTCGTGATCTGTCCACGATGTGTTAAGTTCCTCTCTTAAAGAAGGAATGAATCCTTACAGATTTTCTCATGATAGATGCCTGTTTGGTTGTTAAAGGCATTCAGCTGTTGACTGTACATAGTTACTTTATTAGAAAGTTTATTTTAGTAGCTTTTGATAAAATTTAACAGGTAGTTGATTATCAGAATCATCCAAATGGTGTGTTCTGATGAGCGACCTCAAAGAGTGGTGTTTATTTAATAAGGGCCAAGTTGAAGTAAAGTTCACCTTCTGTTTAAAGTCCGTGCTCTTAAAATATTGATGTACTTAAACCACAGGTTCTTTAAAACAGTAAACAAAATTGATCGTAAAAGACTGAACATCTGTAATCTGGATTAGAATGACTTGGTCTGAATTTGAGTGCTAGATTCTGGTATCTTGCAAATAAAGACAACAGAACCCATAATGGGAATCTTGCTTAAACTCTAGTTCCTGGTTTTTTTAAATGACATACTACAAAAAATAATTCAATTACCTGAGAGTTCAGTTTAAACTGATTTTTTACTGTATTAATTTGGCCTGAATACAGTGATAGGCCTGGCATTTAATTAGATTCATTTTTGCCCCCCTATGGTAAGATAGATTACTTTCCCTATGGGCAAATGGTGCCCAACGGTGTTTGTTAAACATGGGTTTTAGTTTTCAAGGTAGGTTTTAAATGTTGCTATTTCTACTAAAACTCCTTGTATTAAAGGAGTTTAATACTCCTGCAATTATTTTAAAGGTGCATGCATACTTTTTAGAGTACTGTATTTTTTGAAAGTGTAGTGAAATGATCTTTGCCACTTTAGCCAGTTGAAGTGAATAGTCAGTGGCATTAAGTAGCTGCCCATTGCCGAGCAAGGATCGCCACCGTCATCTGCAGAGCCGTCCCATCATCTCCTACTGAAACCCTGCACCCATTGGCCCTAATTCCACCCCCTCCCTCCGGTCCCTGGCAACTGCCTGGTTACTGTTCCTGTCTCTGTGCATTTGACAGAATGCGTAAATACCTCATGTAAGTGGAATTATATAGCTTTTGTTCTGTGACTTTATCAATGTCCTAGTATTTGTGCCCCATCCCTCCAAAAATATTTTTATCATGCAAGTTTTGAAAGCACTAGGTTTTGGCACCTCCCCAGAAGTTTAGTAGAGGATTCAAGGAGCCCTAGTGTGCTAGGTACTATGGGGGGTCATAGAGAGAGAGATGGAACTACTTATGCCCTTGTGGAATTTTTTTTTTTTCCCAATTTCCAAGGTACTTTATTGTTAAAACGGGTCACAACACTAAGCCTCGGGTTGGTTCTGCCAACACACAAGCTACAAATGCTTGCCTGGCAGCTGAGGGGCGCTCTGCGTTAGAGAATCCTAGTTTTTGAATGATCCACCGAGTCAGAGGAAATGGACATGGGGCTCGTAGGCCACACCCACCAAGTAAGGTGCTGGGTTGATTGTACTTGGGGGCATTATTTTGGCTTCATCAGGGAGATGCCATTCCGATGGATGAGGGTTCATTAAATGGCATTACAGTGAGTGCATATTATTAGGGAAGTAGAGAGTGTCTTGTGGGCTGACAAATAGTACTTTTGCTGGTGTCGGGGGCAGTTTGCAGGAAGTTTGTAAAGGCAGATTGGAGCTATCAGATTGTTAGTCATCAGAAGCCTTTAAGCCGCAGCGGTTCTCAACCTTCTGGCCCTTTAAATACAGTTCCTCATGTTGTGACCCAACCATAACATTATTTTCGTGGCTACTTCATCACTGTCATGTTGCTACTGTAATGAATTGTAATGTAAATATCTGATATGCAGGATGGTCTTAGGCGACCCTTGTGAAAGGGTCGTTCGACCGCCAAAGGGGTCGCGACCCACAGGTTGAGAACCGCTGCTTTAAGGGTATTTGATAGTGTTTACGAGGGGAAGCTCTGGCGCTAGACTCCTTGTGTTCGTATTCTATGCTGTGCCTCTTACTGTGCGACCCTGGGCACATTGCTTACTCTCTGTGCTTCAGTAATCCTAGTTACCAAATGAGATGGTAATTACAATGACTCAGAAGATTGCAGTTAGGGTTGACTGAATGAAAACGTATCCGGTATTTAGAAAAGCGCCTGGCACACAGGAAAATCTCAGTCGGTCTCGGCTCTTGTTGCTATAGTCATAAGCCTGGAGGAAAAACTCAGAGTTTATAGCCACGCTCTTTTAGCCAGAACTAGAGGTCCAAAAAGACTTCAGAGATATTTTAGGGGTCGAGTGAACAAGGCTGCAACTTTTTTTATTTTTTGTTAATCCTCACCTGAGGATATTTTTCCATTGATTTTTTAGGGAGAGTGGAAGAGAGGGGGAAAGACAGAGAGAAACAGCGATGTGAGAGAGACACATCGCTGGGCTGCCTCCTGCACGCGCCCCGACCAGGGCCGGGCCTGGGAGGAAGGGCTTCACCCTACTTACTGGTTTTATGTGACCAGAAATGCAACTGATAATCCCGTCCGCGTGCAGCATCAAAACAGGTTTGAAATTAGTACAGCATTGTCATGATTTGCAAATCTATAGAACTTACATTTTCGAATTTGTGTTTTCTTTTAGATCTTATAGAAAATTTCAGCGGTAGCCCTGGAACTAGAAGCTGCAGTAACAGAAGCCGTGTATGATGCATTAGGGTATTGAAGAAAAATAATTTTTGAATTAAATATTTGGAATAGAAGGGAGGAAAGGTGACCGAAAATGGGGCGGAAGAAAATACAAATCACACGCATAATGGATGAAAGGAACCGACAGGTAAATGAACGTCTTAATTTATCTATTTAACAGATGTAAATATG